GTTTTGATTGAAGACGTTTTAATTCAAAACCTTTCTTTTTTCTATCTTTCATTAATTGTTTTAATTGTTTTCGATTTTCTGCTGTTGCTAAACCCATTTGTCTAACTTGTACTAATGATGCAATGCGTTCATTAATAGAACTTAATTCTTTTAAAATGCGTTCTTGTGCTGGGTGTTTTTTTTGTTTTCCTAATGGTTCTAATGGAACAGTATTAATATCATCTATAGGTGGTAATTCTTTTGGATCTTCAAATATTTCTTCTTCAATTGGTTTACGTTTTCTAAGACGATAATCTAGATCTCTTTTTTTGTTTTTCTTTTCTTTATCATCATTTTGATCATTATATTGATCACCTTCATCATCATCATCATCATCATCATCTTCTTCTTCTGGATTATCTTCATTTGCATTATCATCCATATCGTTTGATTGTTTATCATCTGTTGTATTTTGATTTGTTGTATCATTAGATTGATCAATTTTGGGTCTTTTTGCTGATCGAATACGATTAGTTTTTGGTATATTTGAAGAAAGAGGTGATGGTAAACATTCAACACCTTGATTTAAAGATGCGTAGAGTTTATTATAGATTTCTAAATATTCTTCAGTTTTTTCTTTAACATATTCTTCATTCCATTTTATATCATTCCATTCCAGTTGTGCAGCACGATGTTTTATCTAATTGAAAATAAAAATTACTTTTGTTTGTTTTTTTTAATTAAAAAGTGAACTTACAACTCGTTTTTCATCAGGTCGAGCTTTCATATAAGCATCGACAAATGTTTTATAAAGACTGGGACCGTGAAGCTTTTTATTTGATTTTGTACGCATGACGAACACTGTTGATCAGCTGAAACAGTGCAAATAATGATACTCAGCAAAAAAAAACGTATATATATCTGCAAGAAAAAGAACAAAAAAAGCGACAACTACTACAAGTAATGAAAGAAACTCGCGAATGAACTCGCCTGCATTTTTACTTATAAACGGTAACAAAATCAAGTAACCAATAGCTATTCTCACGTTGCGTCTTTCGATGATAAGGTCAATGTATATTCAATACAAAAGAACGCAAAACACGAAAAAGCCGATATATGTATGAATGAATGAATGAATGAAATCAAAGCCTAAATCAAGCACACAAACGTACGGACCTGTCTTTGAGGGACAAATCGTTTGATCTGTATATGTTGCGAAACATAATTTAAAAGGAAAGCTGAAATATAAGGGTAGAAATATGAACTCCCCTCTTCCCAACGGACGTCATATACATCTTAACAACGACTCATCACAAGCATGATAAACATTTTAGTAACAACCTCTCCTCGTGCTTCATAGACCGTGACGATCGCTTTTGATATACAATTAAAGACCTTGTATTTATAATATGTTTTCATAACTTATAAGCTACTTTCTTATTTCATTTCTTAAGAGTTATGTTAAAAAATAGTGAAGACGTGTGCAAAGGATTGTACTTTGCTTTTAACATTGAAATTTTATCTGATAAATTCAATATATTGCTAGCAAACAGATATCACTGAATTAGTTTTGAAAAATAATATTTAAATATGATGAGTTAAATAAATATTTCAGAATGAATATCGAAAATATTTCTAGACAATCAAATCCATTACGATTCTTCAAAGACCGTATAATCACACACCTATGTCATAAGACGAATCAGAAAAGTTTAAAAAACTCGATCAAACTTCTTTTTTGACAACTCAGCAAGTACATATACACTCCTACTTGTAGAAACATAAGTAGTGTGTGCATTAGAGTCCATCGGGTCCACGATTTTCAGACCCGGACACGTACCCGTACCAGGTTTATTAACGTCCTTGAGACCCGGATCCGGGCCTAATTGATTCTTTTCAGACCCGGATCCGGACCCGATTGATTAAACATTTTGGTACTCGAGCCTGAAACCGTTGCTGAACTCCATTCTTAACATTTTCAATGATTTTTTCTTCTCTGAATCTGATAGTTGCTTCAAAAATATGAGATACTTTTTTCAGTTTTCTAAATTGATTACTAATACACTCTAAACATTTATCGGGCAAAATTGATGATGATCAGTACATAGTTAGTTGAGCCTTCATAGATAAACCTCTTAACATTTGAGCCTTCTATTAGGGATAAACAATTTACATTTTTTTAAATTATTAAATCAATAAATAAATTACTTAAGCGTTGATTTAAAAAAAATAAAAAAGAATATTCTCAAATAAATTTAAATTTATTGTAAAACTGAATTGGCAAGAATTTAAACTTAAAGAAATTAAGACGATGTATGTTGGTTTTCTTACGGGTGTGTAGTGTGAGTGTTAGTTTTGGTGTAGATAGGTGAGGGCCAAGAAGAAATATCTACATCTCACGCTCTACATCCAAATACCAACCTAACATCCGCACCAAAATTAATACGGACATTACAAACTCATAACAAAACCTGCACATCGTTTTAATTTATTTTAAGTGTAAATTCTTGCGAATCCAATTATAAAATAAATTCACATTTAGTTGAGAATATCCTTTTTAAATTTTTTACTATGAAGTTTTTAAAAGTTTATTGCAAATTTAAAATTTTTAAAATTTATTTGTAGATTTAATAATTTTTAAAAATGTAAATTGCTCAGCCCTAATAGAAGACTGAAATGTTAAGAGGCTCATCTGTGAAGGTTCAACTGTTCTATCACCATGATGATCTTATAGTAATCAAGTTATAATTGACTCTAACTCCTAGCCAACAGCTTCAGATTCAAAGACGAAGAGGTGGATTAACACAGTTGTATATTATTTCATTTGTCGAGGTCCGGACCCGGCCTCGGACTCGGTGAAAAGTAAATTTTGAAACCCGGACCCGGATCCAGGTCCTACCCGACGGACTCTAGTGTGCACTCAACTGTTAATAGTTCTCTTTAAAAGCAGGATAATATCATTTTAAGTAAAGAAACTAAATTATTCTTTGAAAAACAAAGCCCTATGCACCGAATAGAAAAATAGAAGCATTTCTCAATAAACTATTAACTGGTGTTCACTACATCTGCAGAGTATGAGTTCATCAGACAAGTAAAAATATACGCTCAAACTTCGAACGGTTTGATATGTACTCAAGTTTTTCACCGGGCAGTTAAAACTACTCTCTTAGATCGATGACCACCGAATTGAATAATGCGGTTCGATATCAAAATCAATCCGAATATTCCATCATTAATTTGAACCTTTATGACGACGATGACGAATTGACCCTGTCTAATCAGTTCTTATCTTGGATGTTGATGTGCATGTAGATTAAAATAATACTCACATTCACACCTACAACTCACTCACAATGTCAGAAGAGGTTAAAAGTATAATATATTATATTTGTTCATCGTATAGATTACATAAAACGAAACTCAGAAAATAATCAGATAAATAAAGTTCCCAATCTGTTATAAATTTCGATCCCTTTTCAGTGAGTTCATCAAATGACTTTGTGAATGTAGGTTCCTTCGAAAAAAGCGTTATTTTCTCAAAGGATTATTTATTCCAGATACTTTTGCAACGCATTCACGCATAATTGGTCTAACTTTACTGGCATCGTTAATATTAATTTTTGTAAGTAGGCGTCAACGCCAATCAAATAATTTCCAATTTTTACAGTTTTTCTCTTTGATTGATGAGCATATTCAATAGCGTGAACGTCAGCATCTGAGTACGTATTCCACTTTGCTGGTCCTATCTCTGAAAATGGATCGATGTTTGATTGCCAGTACCACATAATATTTTCAGAATTAGTTGCCATGTGCTTCAATCTGAAACAAGTAAATACTCAAATTAGAAAGAAACGTTATGTAAATGTATGATATAAGAAAGCGTCTTTACATTCTATTTATATTCATAACAAAAAAAACTTTTTACCCATAAAATCTTACGAGCATACTTTATAATGATACAAAACATTTTTTCGTTGTCTTTTTTTATGTAAATATGAGCTGATTCATCAATCTAAGAATTTTATTTTGTGAAAGAATATGACAGAAAAAATTTCTTAATTATTTCCTTTGCGTAAATTTCCACGCTAGATAAGTGTCAACTTTTGATTTCATATGATCGAAATTGTCATTGGTGTTTTTGACCATTTCAATTGTGTTCAATTTTTCGAATTGGTCCTTTAACGGTTCATTAAACTATGCTCCTTCTGATGCGCTAGCAAAAAAGTTGTCTCTATATAAAATTGACGGCATTAAATCATTATTTGCCCAAAGTCCTGAGAAATTCAATGGCTCAAGTTCTTGTTTACACAGAACCCACACAAGAGGAGCTACTACTTCACTAGCAAAATTATTCGACAGCTTTGAACATAAGCTTTGAAACAAAAAATTGTTTGTGAAAAACCGACGAATTTTGATAAAGATAAGAAGAATTTTAAGAAACTCTAGAAAACTAGCCTCCTTATTATAGAGTAAGTTTATGCTTTAAAACTATTGGAATCAAGTTTGGGTAGAGATTCTTCACCGCCGTAAGACTTTAAAAATAAAAATAAAAATTTCACTTTCGAGATTGAATACTTATACATGTATGCGCTTCTTCTTTTATAGTTCACTCATTTTTCTGTTGAGAGAAGCCGTCTTCACATATTTTTGCAGAGGATTGAAATTAAAATTTAAAAATAAAATTGATTACAATCGGATATAAATCAAAGAAGTTAGTGTGAGCGTAAAAAATGACAGAAAACATTCTTTGACTGTTAGTCAGCTTCTTAAGCAAGTCCTTAGTCCATCGATGAAATTCTACACACAGATATTATGATTTCCTCATTAGAAAGTGACGATAAGTTGTTTTAGTTAGACAAGCTATTTAGGATGCGGAACACTGTATACTACATAAGGATACAATAAGTTCTCAGTAGTAATGAAGTGTTTTGGTAGCTGATACAAAACTATCAGGGGAAAACTGAAGCGTATCGTTGTTTCTCTAACAACATAAATATAACATTGCAGTCACCAATTTATAGATGATGCACATGACCAAAAACTGCATCATGAAAGACTTGAAGGAATTGGAAATCAGTTTAACACTCAATGTTCACCTAATTCCCGGTAATGACGGATATCATTATCAAGGAACCATGCTCGGTCCACTTGATTCTCCTTATGAAAATAGAATTCTTCAATTTAAACTCGAGTTTCCCGTGAAGCACCCATTTGTACCTTTGAAAATTCAATTTAACACAGAAATATTTCACTCAAATATATTCCTTAGTGGTGAAATCTGTTTAAATCTCCTGCAAGAAGAATGGGCGCCATCATGCACTCTCTCGACAGCTTTAATATCCATTCAAAGTGTGGTAAACGATCCAAATCCTAATGATCCAAGTAATCAAGAAACTGCACATTATTATCGATTCAATTGTGAAAAATATAGCCAAATTGCACGTGAATGGACAAATAAATATGCAACTCCACATGATATGTGTCAGAAAATATTTCAACTAAAGAAGCCACAAGAAAAGAATTAGATGAGATACAATGTCACAGTTCATCCGAATTTGATGTTCATTCTTTTGATGTGAGGGATCCATTTTTTTGTAAGGGTACTATTATTTGTCCACAAGATAGTCCCAATGATGATAGAAGTTTCTCTATGAATATTCGATTTCCTTTAGATTATTCGGATAAACCACCTGTAATTTTTCTTCTAACATACATATTTCATGTCAATGTATCTGAGTTTATTTATTTAAATGAGACTCTTGTACAAAAAGTACGAAATCGAGATTCGACTCCATCGAATATATTACGAAATCTCTTGACATTACTTTCCAATCCTCATTCGGACGATTCGCTCATTAGTTATGCTGTGCTTGTTTACAAACATGATCGTGAAAAATATAACAGGCTCGCATTACAATGTAAGAAAACTGAAGAAGAGCCAGAAATGCTATAGTCAACAGCGAAAAAACTTCTAGCCACAGCATGGACAAAATAACTATTTGAGTTTTTTTCTTTTTCTTTTTATGTCACCTACTTCCTATAACGAAAGAAGAATATATTCTATTTGCTTGAACTCTATCTTCAGTTATTTCTATATTGTGTCCTACAAGTTGTTTGTGTAAAATGATTTCGTATAGCATCCGCACTTACGAATTTTTATCGATCATTCTTTGTTTATATGATCGGTATCACCGTCAAGTTTTACTTTATAAAAACAAAGTTCTCATTATTGCTCAAAGGATTCATTTTCGACTGAAATACAAAACTTTTTTTTTTCGAGCAGGGATGATTTTAATAAAGGACATCTTGCATATTGAATAAAGGTTATTGAGGTCATATTCAACCTCTGACTAGAAGGGTACGAGACTAGAAATAGTGCAAACAGATTTGTCATAATATTCTAGTCAAGGGTAGAGATTACACGATCGACACCATTGTTGGAGCTGATTTTGTTCTTCAGAATGGTGACAGCGTCCGAACTATTATTTCTGAGGAATGCTGCACGACTACGAACTTCATCGAAACGATTCGAACCGGTGTGAATCAGGATCAGTAATAACTGGTAGATAAGCTGAATGATTCATCCATTCAAATACCATTCTTGATTCTTTTAAAATGACTTCATCATACGGATAGTTCACCAAAGAAAACATTTTAAACTTATTCAAGACTCAAATGCGATAAACCATTCCTTGAAGACATTGCCTAATACACTATTCTCTGAACTTTCGGGACTGTATAGGGTGTGGGTGTGGGTGCTCTGAAGAGAAATAGAGTCTTGCGGAACTATTTTTCATTCTGCAGAATGTACAAAACCAATTTATATTTCTGTATGAGGGTGTGGGTGTGGGTGAGTGTGGATATGGGTGTGAGTGTACCTGTGGTTCTGAGTGAAGGCGAGGGTGTGCATGAAGAATACACCCACATCCTAACAATATTGGATTTATTGATGCTGGCGATTGTTTTATGTTAAATATGATGCTTTTAATGATATTCCCTCGCTTATTACCATAAAAAACAGAACTGTTTGTGATGATCTGTCATATCACTGTTGTCTAGATTAGTGAAGAAGTAACTTTTTGACTTGGACATGAGAGTGTGATGTGTGAATGTTGCACTGGATATGATTGAAAAAGATGCTGAATCAAAGAAAAACAGCATTCAGGTTTTAAATAATTTTATAAATAAATAAATAAATAATTGAATTTTTTTCAATGTTTGTATTATACTGTTGAATGTATTCTATTTTACGTAGCTAGATGATGATGTTGATCACTGCCATCGAGTAAGTTATTGAGAATCTGTTCTATAGTCTTCCTAGAAGCTAGAAAGTCATTTTCCACACGATCTTGCGCTTGTGCCTGGTCACTCGATGAATATGCGGAGTTTTCCATACCATAGATATTAATATTTCCAGGTAACTTAAATTTTGATGAATCGAATTTCAGATTACATGATCGACAATGAGTTACTATTACAAACAGTTGTGGAAATAGTTCTGTCACAGAAGAATTTGTATTTCCTGTGTAGGCTGTAATTTCACTTAATAGATTTGTTTCGTCGAAATTTTTCCCATCAATTCCAATTATTATTGCTGTGAATCGATCAATGTCGAGACAATCAACCGGTATATCATTGCTCGGAATTTTATCGTCATTATCAAAATTAATTGTCTCAATAAACACTATATTTTCTCGATCATTAATAGGAAATCGATAATAATTAGTCATCGTTGTTTGTACACAAGTTTCAATATTCGTAGTCACTAAGGCATACGATGGATTTTCTGTTATTCTCAAAATACGTTTATTGAATTCATGCCGACCTGCAAAATAATTGCCAATATAATCAATAATGGTCGATTTACCTAACAGACAAAGAACATTATAATAAGTATTGTAATAGTTATATAATGCGTACATACCGGCTCCTATCGCGCCTGTAACTAATACGTAATGATTGAGTATTTGATCAGTATTGGATGGCCTTGAAATATTGAGAATCTTCCACCAATTGATTGATTGTGTTTGAAGAGTTATAGGTTCAGATAAGGTCATTAGTTGTTCCATATCATGTTTCAATGCTTCTACTTTTTCTTTTAATCTTTCAAGATCACTTTCCATGAACTTCTCAGACTGTTTTTGCTCTGTTATTTCTTTTCTTAAAGTTTCAATTTTCTTTTTAAGATTAGTCTTTTCTTTTTTCTTACTGAACAATCGTGCAACTATTCCACGAGCTTCATCAGCTGTTCGATAACAGGCATCGATTGTTTTCGTTTGCCATTCGTCGATTTGTTTTAAAAGAGTTCGAGCATCGTCATTATCACATGGATTCGATGGATGACTCATTTCCATTTGAAAATCTTGCAGAATTTCTTCATATGCATTGATGATCTTGTTGAGATCTTTCTTGAGTTGTTCTTGATGTCCATCTAAATGTTTTTGACAAAAATGTTGAGCACACCCATCACACGACATAATCGCTGTTGATTCATTCGATGCACATATATTGCATGAAACTCTAGTTTTATCGTTAGAAACTTGTTCAGAACTGCCTGATGAAACAGTTACGATGTTTATTGGATGTGATAATTGTGTATTCATTACTTGGGTTGTGTTATGTAAAATACTTCTAATAAGTAAGATGAACATTTGTTCAACATTAGAACTATTGAATGCTGATGTTTCCACATATAGAAAACCGAGTTTTTCAGCAAGAGCAATCGCTTGTTCATATGTTACTTGCCGTCGACTGGTTAAATCTGATTTGTTACCAATAAGAGTAATAAATACATCTTTATGTCCATATTTATGCAATTCTTCAACCCATTCAGCAGTGCTATCAAATGTTGTTGAGTCAGTTAGATCAAAGACAACAAAAGCACCTTGTACATTATGGTAATACAATCTGGTGAGGACTTTGAAACGATCTGTACCATTTGTATCCTAATTTATGGCATACGAGAATATGAATCTAATTCAAGAAAAATCATAATAAAAAACTAACCCACACTTGCACCTTGATCTTTTTTCCATTAATTACAAATTGTTTTATATAAAAATCAACTCCGAGTGTCGATCCCACGCGGAAAGAAAATTCATCATTCACAGCACGATGCAAAAGTGATGTCTTAAAATAATAAATTAATTTCTTGTAGATTATGAAAGAACATCAAAATCAAGACTGCTTACTTTGCCAACAGAATCATCTCCGATGAGAATGAGTTTAAAAATGAAATCATGTTCGTATTCTATTGTAGAATTTTGTGCCATTAGTTGTGTTACACACGGAATAAAAAAGATTACTTAATAATGATCTATCACAAAAAAAACCAAATAATCTAGTCGTTTTTGTAATTTAATTCTTTATGTACGCACGTGGTAAAGAAACACAACAGATGAATGAAAGCAAAAGAATAGCTATTTGCATTAAGAAATGGCAAGATTACGAACATAGGCTGTTGACTGATTGGATTCGAAATTCATACGGAAGGATTTTTATAACAGTTAGGTTTGAAGAATCGTTTCTTTTTGTATATGAAGAACTGCATGATTTGTATACATGGTATGTGTTTCTAGAATGGTACTCAATCAGAAGACGACTGTCAAGACCCCTGATTTTTCTTTTCTTTTCATTTTTTTGAGTGTAAAGTGGGAAGTTTTGTGTCAACAACAATGTAAACGTGGAAGAAAATAACAAATGGTTTTCTGCGCTTGTTAAAGAATAGAGCCTACTGTTCTAAGAAACGATTCCTAGACTTACGCGGGTATTTACATAAGCAGTGAATGTTTATCTAGAGAATATATAATACTGATCATGATCTGGATTTCAGAATCAAGATACAAGTTGTTACAAGCACAAAAGATATATGGGATTGTGTGGAGACGGTATGATTGAAGGAAAGATTAACATACATTCATACCCTTATTAAGTAGAGAATCGTTACTCTTCGAAACTTATTTTTATTTATATCATAGAAACTGGAAAAAATTTCATAGGGACTATGAAAATCCAAAATCCATAACAAAAATAACAACATTGAATTGGTTTTCGTCGTCATATTTTGATAAGAGAAAACGTTTTAATATGCAATGATCAACTTTTCTGTTTTTGATAATTGTTGAAGACATGTCGTCGATGAATCGCTTTTCTATAAGGGAATTTTTCTTCGAAGAAAACTATTTCGATTCTTTCAAGGTGTCATTTAACTTATTAAAGTCGATTGATTTGATCACCATTCGATAAGGTTGTAGAATGTCAACTGGATTCAATCGACAAACTAATTTAAGATAAATAATGAAAGGAATAAGAATCTTATATCGGTCTTTAAAATATGAATAGGTGCTAATGAAATTCTAATTTTTCTTATCAATTAAAACTCGCTTATTTATTCGATCTCCGTCCCCTAATTTGAATGAATATTTCAAAATACTAATTGAAGATCTACATGAACTCAACACTTATTATGCTTAGTTTTTTCTTCAAAGAAAACAAAAGCTAAAATCTTGAAAAATCCTCATGAAAGTATTTGATTTTAAATTGACTGGACATGGGGTAAAGCTTTCTCAAGATATGACAGATATGTTTTACTTACGGTAGTCTTAAGAAAACTTCAAGAAAAACATTCAAACGGTCAAGCTTTTTTTGCAAGTTAATAAGTTTGATTGTTGATAATACTTAAAACTCAAGATGAATAGAAAGAAAGTCGATAGTTACATATAGATTTCTGACTATAATGTGTTAGCGAATCGTTTAAGACTTAATATTAATTTTGACTATTTCTAATTAACATTTAGTGCGCATGAAATTTAGTTTAAGCACTTGTACTAGGCATATATCGTTGAATTTCAAGTATTTCTCTATTCCAAAGACAACTCATCATGGTGTTACCAGATCCATTTAAGACAGAAACAATTTCTTTCTTCAATGGATCGAATAATACAATGGAAAGTTCTTATTTGAGTAGAAGAAAACTTGAAACTAATTGAGATTTACCAAAAATTATCATTCAAATATAATTTTACGCTAACTAAATGATAAATGTTGATCTCTTTTGTAAATTTTAAGCGCTAAAGTAACAACCCTTTATTTTCGGTTAATGCTAATTTTTCGTCTCTACGACAGACTGTAAAAGACTTCAATAGATTCAAACACTCCCATATGCAAATATTTCTTACTCGTGTTTCGATGAAATCTTTATTTTTTTTCCTACGTATGTAAGACGTGCTTTAAGAAGCAAATGGTTGTGCAAATAAAATAAAAAATAAATTCAAATGGCGTGTGTTTTTCTTTCTTACAAAGGAAAAAGAAACGAAAAAAACCGTGTACATCTTAATTGCAGCAAAGATTAAAACGCTTGCTTCCCACAAATAGAACTTTTCGATGGCTGCCTCAATCAAATAGAAACCATTATTTGAGCGTGTCGGTTCAATCAAGTTTTAGCTGATGATGATAGAATTCATCAGATGGTTTGAAGAGTTTGAGTGATAATAAACCATTAAAAAATATCATTAATTTTATTTTAAATAGAAAATATTCTAACGTTTAGTAGTTTGTTCAGCAAGTTTTGATCAAAAGAACAACTATCGATAAAGTTTTTTGAACAAAAATTGAAATAAAACAGTTGAGATAAAGTCAGGAAAAACCCGCATCATTCATAGCACTTTTAATGAGCCTTTTGTTGATGAACATATTTGAATCAAAGCAAAGAAGAACAATGATAAAAAATATAATGATTAATATGTTCGCTAAATCATTTCGAAAATGAAAATTTCAACATCATACAGAACCCGAAAGTCCACATAAAACAAAAGATGACTTAATAGGAATGCAAATAAATGATAAATATTTCAATAGAGTCGAAGAGTATTGATCAAGAAAAACGTTTAAAATTCAAATTTTAAATTTCAATATTTAAGATTATTTTAAAAAATGCAACAAAACAATAAAATGACTTAGACAACTAATGAACACAAACTAAGTTGATCTTTGAAATTTATCAGGAGGGTGTAGGTGTTTGAATAGAACTACGACGGCCGCACCCTTTTTAATGTTGATATGAAGGAGGATCTTCGGAAGTCGATTGTAACGAGTGAAAAAGAATAATACTCATTCATACTATGATGTATCTTTCAGAAACTTTGTTTGTTGTTGAATCAATACATAAGTTTTTGGTAATATGAACAGAAATAATATGATTAATAGCCTTCTGGAAACCATAAAAAAATTTGCCCGACAACATTAGAAAAAATACATTCGTTTTAATATTAAATCACTAATGACTGAGCAGTCATCCTATTCCGCAATGTTGAACATTGCAGAATCAGTTCCACCCGATTTCGGGAACTCCATCATCATTCAGCAAAAGAGATCTACTCGACATCGAGAGAGTTCCGCCAATTCCCGGAATACCCGGAACTGAGTTCAGACGGAATTACTCGCAATCTCCAGAAATACCTTCCAATTCCGGAATTAGAATAATACTCGAAATTACGGAATTATACGGAATCGGAAGGAGTTCCAGGAATTCCAGAAACAGAAGGAAGTCCTAAGAATTCCGTCTCGACTCAATTCCCGGAATTCCATACCGCAATTACTTACTTATCTTAGGGACTAATCTTCCACCACACAACCATGAGTGTGGGTGAGAGCGAGAAGTAATTCCGGTGTGGAATTCCGGGAATTGAGTCGAGACGGAATTACTGGGAATTCCGGAATTGGAAGGAGTCCCCAGAATTCCAGAATCAGAAGGAATTCCAGAATTGGAAGGAGTCTCCGGAATTTTGGAATCAGAAGGAATTCCGGAATTGGAAGGAGTTCCCGGAATTGGAAGGAATGCCGCTTCAACACAATTTTCGGAATTCCGAAAATTGACGGAGCTCGATCGATATCGATTGGGTCTGTTCTGTGGAATCATAATCGAGCTCCCGGAATTGGACGGAATTGGTTCCGGGGATGGAACTGATTCCGCAATGTTCAACATCGCGAAATAGGATGCATTCTCTAATGACTCTATTAAAAGATGTTCCTCAGAAAAATCGCTATTAATCGCAAATGCTTTGGAAAAAAAATGATCTATATTGAACATGAATGTGCAGATTTCAACTAATGGTAAGTTCATCGATTGAGTCGATGGTCAAATCTCTAAAATTTGACTCTTGTCAGTTGATCATAAACGGTAAACAACGCGTTAAAAAAAACATTAGCAAAAACTAACGTGGTAGACTCTTTCTTTCTACATGAGAAGATATGCTCTCAAACTTTTCATCGATGAATATTGAAAGATGTTGTACATTTAGTAGCAAAAGAACTATAATAATCTTTGTTCGAAGTCAATTCGAGATGAGATAAAAGTCTGGTAGTCACATTTACCAATGGCATTAGTAGAAATATATCAGTATTGACGACTGATTTTACCTCTCGTGCAAAAAGAAAAAACAGTTCATGATACTATTTGTTTCGCACATACAAATGTAATAATACCAAGATGATATTGGAGGACTAGTATTGATACATCCCTACTCACAAACGTCTGTTGCCTTTTCTAACCAATAAGAAACAAAGAACTTTAATTTCTTCATATGTGAGCGACTTAGACGGAGATCAAAACATGTGATCATATAATTCAAAGTAGAATTCGCATTAAGTATAAACATCGAAAGAGAGATCGATTTGACGTATTGTTACAATAAATTGTTTTAACTTAGCATTGATACAAAAAACAATGAGTAAGAAAGTATTGAATGCATGAATGTAGAAAGAGACGAGTTCCTTTAAGAATGATTTCGAAATTGCATTCTACGAATCAAATCGATTTCTTCAATTCATTTCAACGCAAAAATAAGAGTGAAAATGTCTCATGCAGAAATCGAACCTACACGCTCCTATGAGTAAGACCGACGCGATGAACACTTCACTAACTCGACTCTATATATAGTAAGATCGCTCTTATTATTCCGTGTACAATGGAGGATGAAGTAACAAGTATGCATTAGTTACATGTACGTCTGTTATAGGGTGAATCAGTTATATGTGTATGTGGGTGTGGGTGTAAATCTTCTCTTCATTCCCACACTCACATCCAAAAGCTTGAAATCACTTGAGATAGTTCGCTTATAAGTCATCATCAAATTTGTGTGACTCACCAAGAATATAGTTTCTTTCAAATCAGTATTGTTATCTTTCTTTTCTTCCTTTTTCATATGAGACGAGTAGGAAAAAAAAAGAGGAAAACATGCATTTTTCAATGTGAGTATTAATTAATGTTTGCGAC